AGTCACAGGTTAGCCTAATATAAGTATTAAAACCTTTTTCGATCGAGCTTGTAAACTGTCAGTATCAGGTAATCTCAGCATAACAAAACTACGTCCACTATCAGAATAACCTAAAATGAGCGATATACATTTTTTCACACAAAATATCAGTCCAGCATTTTAATAGTGAAAGTCCTTCGAAATAGGACTAACGGACATCAATAACAGCTTTCATTACAAAACTTGTTTAAAACTTAAATACACAGTTTGTCTCCTTTGAGATAGTTTTAGAATATACGTACACACCATTGAATGGTCGAATAAATGAAATGATTTCGAGAAGTCAGATTTCTTTGATTGCAGCTAATACAAGAATAGCTAATAATGAATCGTTTTCAAACATTTAAACTCTGCTTTGTATTAAAGCGCCGAGCAAGAGAAATATTCACTTTTATTCGTGAAGTTCAGTCGTTGCTTAAAAATAAGTTTGATCTCTTTTTGCGGAACAACAAGACCCGAGATTGAGTCCAAATCTGGTGCATTGACTTCTTCTGTACAAACGTCAAACATTTGTAGAAGAGTTCCTAGACCCAGGAGAAGAGTGGATTTAACTAAACTGTCACCCAGGCATGTTCTTTTTCCTGTTCCAAATGGAAAGAAGTAATCGGGTTTCAGAACTCTGCCTTCTTTAGTGAGAAACCTGCTTAATGAAAAAAAGATTTGTTTTGATCAAAAAGAGAATTACCTTAACAACGTTAATTTTGATTAAAAAATAAAGAAATTAAGAACATTAAAATAAATTAAGAACATTAAGTTTCGAGAGTTACTATAGCTTGTTTAAACTCCTTTCAGACATTATATTTTAGTTGTAATACCTAGAAAAAGATCTTGGGGTTAACTTCTTTTACAGTAAAATAAACTCCAACAACACAACGTTCTTAGAAATCATTTTATAGCAATCAATTTGGAAAACAGGAAGCAATGCATGTTAGTCACTTACTTCTAGAATGATATTGCTAATATTCTAGCTGATGTAAAACAAAACCAAAACAAAAACTCACCTTTCGGGCTTAAATCTTCGAGGTTCTTCCCAGTATTGTGCATCCATGTTTAGGTCGAATGTATTGAACATCACCATAGTGTTTATAGGGACATGAAAACCTAATATGGAAATAGCTTTTAATCTAACTAAACAAAACTGAAGCTTATAAATTATGACTGCTTTTTGTTATAAATTCCTTAGAACCTGTTTGGCCTAGGTATCTTATTTCGTAGAGTAGTTGTTTTAGTTTCAAACAAATATCCTGTTATCGGTCGACATTTAGCTCAGAAAAAAAAGACAAAAAGTTATGAATTAGTCTTCTAGTCTCCTACTGAATGAACCAACACCCTTTATCATAGTAATAGTAGAAGCACTGGAGACTGAACATGGTTAAATGTGTCAGAGATTCCGTACTAAAACTTGACCTACTAACCTTGAATGTTGGTGTCCTTGGTGGCTACGTGAGGAATTATTGGTGAAGCGACAACCCTCAAGATTTCCAGTGTCACTGCCTCCGTGTATGGTAGTGCCGGCTTGTCCTGCAGACACGGATGTCTCCGGTCTTCTGTGGCTCTCGACACTTCCGTTCGTATCCTCTCCTTCACTTCGGGGTATCCAGCTACCAAGTAAAGACCCCACAGCCATAGGTTCCCTAAGACAGAGTGTCCACCGCATAGATCGTCCACCGTGACCTCTGCGTCTTCTCGGGACAAATTATTCCCGGTTCCTTTAATATGTTTTAAAAATATGTCAACCAAATCGCGCAAATTTTCTTCATCCAGCGTTTTCTCATGTTCATCAAATATAGTTTCTGTTAGCTTAGTGACCTCATCTGCCTTGTCTCTAAGATCTTTCAGCCGCTTTTCGTTAAAAACCTTGAGCCATGGCATAAAATCAATAGCAAAACCCTGAAAAAGTTCCCTGAAGACGACGTCGTAGATCCTGACTATCCTCTGGAAAGTTGGATCTTTTGTGTGAAATCGCTTACTGCATAAATATTGATAGAAAATGTTCGCAGTACACACAAGAAGGAACGGTCTGGGTTCGATTAATTGATTCTCAACGGTCAATAAAGTTGTAACTAATTCTTGTAGTTCTCGAGTAATGAAGGTATTCATACGGTCGATACCGAAGGACACACACTTCGGATGCATGTATGGAAATACGATTTCTCGGCGAACTTTCTGTTTCGAAGACCAGTCACATAAGGCAATGGCTGTATCGACAGAAATAAACAAAATCAGTCCATTGCAGGAATTGTGTTGGTTCTGCAGAAAATATCAATTCCAGTGTTTATTATCCAGTAACAAATCTCATTATACCAAGTTTAACTTTAGTAATGAACGTCGTACATCATAAGTAGAAACATAAAATTTATCATATCAAAAACTAATCTGGTTTTCCTTGAACATACAAGTTTATAGAACATGTCCTTGGAGCTAAAGATAAAAAAAAAGATTTCAGTAAATGAAATGTGTGGAAATGGCCCCAAAGAAAGTTATATATATATATATTTATGTTTAGGTTAGCTTAAGATTTTTAAAACGAGACTTAAGAGGAAATTGGTTTAAAATGTTCAGAAATTGTAGTACCAAATCGAGTAGAAATTTCGCGAGTTTTTGATTGTTACATTAATTAATATTTACTGTTTGCTGTTTCATTACATTTGATACACGAAATTATTCATTAATCTTGAATATACCTGTTGAAGGTTTCTTTATTAAAGAAAGAAAAAAGTTAAGCAATTAAGCCTATTAGAATGAAAACTTTTTTTTTTTTTACAAGCGAAAATTAAATTACAGTAACAGGCTCCATGACAGTTAGTTAGTTTGTAATTAAGCACAAAGCTACACAATAGGATATCTGTGCTCTGCCCACCACAGGTATCGAAGCCCGAATTCTAGCGTTACAAGTCTGCAGACATACCGCTGTGCCACTGGAGGGCTACATGACAGCAAAGTTTGATTATTTATGGAAAATATGGATGTTGAAAAAACATTTGTTTAATGCTGTAATACTTTTATTTTCATTAATTACATGTTCTACGTATTGGGCCTATTGTAAATAATAATAAAAACCTCCCTATTTTGTTAATGTAAACAAATGAAATTAACTTACACTATATGATACTGTGTTACTAGTTATTTTATATTTGTATATGGAGAAAAAAAAATTTCCCTGTTTATACTGACAGGAGGGGAAAAGGTACTGGTTGTTGTAACTGTTGACAGTTTCCTTGTAAGTGTGTTTTGAATTTCGCGCAAAGCTACACGAGGGCTATCTGCGCTAACCGTCCCTAATTTAGCAGTGTAAGACTAGAGGGAAGGCGCTAGTCATCACCACCCACCGCCAACTCTTGGGCTACTCTTTTACCAACGAATAGTGGGATTGACTACACATTATAACGCCCCCACGGCTGAAAGGGCGATCATGTTTAGTGTGACGGGGATTCGAACCCGCGACTCTCAGATTGCAAGTCGAGCGCCTTAACCACCTGGCCATGCCGGGCCAGCTCCTTGCAAGTGTAGATTCAGTATAGCGAGGAATAAACACCAATATTTGAACTTACAAATTTTCTAAAAGAATTCAGTAACTAGGCGAAATACGAGTTCACGGGCTTATAAAACAAATAAAAAAAAGAAGATTAATTTCAGCTATTTAGCTGCTCTCTAGCTTCAAAAATACTGTGTTTACACTACATTTGTGGGAAGTTATCATACGTTCAGGGAAGGGAGGTTGAAAAATTACGCCAAACAACAGACTCGTACCAACAGCACAGCCCCCCCCCCTCCACTGTTATATTTAGATTTGGTACATACTCAAATATTTAATACTTACATTACTGTGACCTCCAGTTTATCAAGAATTTCTTCGGTGTTTGTTTTGTTTTTCGTCGATCTAAATGATGTTTATGAATGATCGGGGTTTAATTAACAAACAATCTCTACTAAAACACCTAAGGTAACCCAGTGATATGCATTGTTAGTAAACGTTTTACTGCGTACAAAGGAAGTGCGTATGTAAACTTACAGTAGTTTCTGTTGCCACGGAAGATGGCGTGGAAACGCAGGAAATCAGGCCGATTTGCGAAGTCTTCACTTTTACTAACGAGGACTTGTTTCATGGCCGAGAGAGAGCTAACCACAACGCATTTCCGGGAGCCGAGAGTTAGGCCGAAAACATCACCGTACTGTTTTCGTAGATTAGAGAACCCATGCCAGGGGTTATTGTAACGGCCGATGATATGAGAGCAACCAAGGACAGGTAACCCGTGTGGTCCAGGAAGAACTTGGAGATTAGAGCTTAGATGTGTTTTCTTTCTACTACTTAATGCCGCGACAACGACAGCTAAAAGAAGTACACCAACCCATAAGACGACCGATACTGGAGTTAATATTGATAAAATCATTCCACTTACTAATAGTTAACTAGCGGCTTTCGTAACAGTAAAATTTAAACCAGAGTGTTTAGATGTGGCTACTAAAAACTTAGTTAACCTAGACTGAGATACCAGACGTTTTCTTTGCTCTCTGTGCCAAATCACTGGACAAAGTATATTTATATGTTAGCGATTTGTGACGTCGGCTGGAGGGGCCTCATTTGCCTACTACGACACTCTCGCTTATTTCTATCCCCGCCCCACTGGTAGCTCCTCCTCTTCGGGAACAGTCTTACGTAACATTAGAAAGTCCAGGTATTTATCAAATACATCATGAAATTATAAACAGACAACTTCTGAGGGAAATATTAGATATCCAAAAAGTTACGAATTACCAAGAATACCCCAGAGGTTTGTACATTTTCTTAAGGAAATTAAAATTCATATATTACCATTAAGGTTTTTCAGGAACAGGTTTATATTTGTAGTTGAATGATTGATTTGGTTTGAATTTCGCGCAAAGTTATATGAGGGCTATCTGCGCTAGCCGCCCTTAATTTAGCAGTGAAAGACTAGAGGGAAGGCAGCTAGTCATCACCACCCACCGCCAACTCTTGGGCTACTCTTTTTACCAACGAATAGTGGGATTGACCTTCACGTTATAACGCCCCAACGGCTGAAAAGGCGAACATGTTTGGTGGAACGGGGGTTGAAACCCGCGACCCTCAGATTACGAATCAAGCGCTCTATCCACCTGGCCATGCCGGTCCAGTAGTTGAATGAAAATGAGCATTTCCAGCAAGATAAGAGAATTGTAAAGGTCTATGGTAATATTCGCTTTTAATCTGTGCTGGACCGGACTCGTAATCTGAGGGTCGCGGGTTCGAATCCCCGTCCCACCAAACATGCTCACCCTTTCAGCCGTGGGAGCGTTATAATGTGACGGTCAATCCCACTATTCGTTGGTAAAATAGTAGCCCAAGAGTTGGCGGTGGGTGGTGATGAATAGCTGCCTTCCCTCTAGTCTTACACTGCTAAATTAGGGACGGCTAGCGCAGATAGCCCTCGTGTAGCTTTGCGCGAAATTCAAAACGAACAAACAAACAATTTAATTTGTGCAGTTTGTTGAAATGTATATTTTTGCAAATAGTTCCCGTTGCTACGGAAGATGGCGTGGAAACGTAGAAAATCAGGCCGGTTTGCGAAGTCTTCGCATTTATATTAACGAGGACTTGTTTTGTGGCATTTTCGAGAGCCTAGAGTTAAGCCTAAAACATAACCTTTTACTGTCTTTAAAGATTAGAGAACCTATTCCAACAAAGATTATTGTAGTGGATGATGATGTGAGAGACACCCAGAAGAAGCAACTCTCGTGGTCCAGGAAATGTTGTTCACTTTACGATTGCAATATAAAACACGTTTGCTTGTACTGGACGACAATACTTTCACCACCACCAGCTGAGTATTACAGTTTATCGCCGGCCCGGCATGGCCAGGTGGTTAGGGCGTTCGACTCGTAATCTGAGGTTCGCGGGTTCGAACCCCCGTCACACCAAACATGCTCGCCCTTTCAGCCGTGGGGGCGTTATAATGTGACGGTCAATCCCACTATTCGTTGGTAAACAGTTGGCGGTGGGTGGTGATGACTAGCTGCCTTCTCTCTAGTCTTACACTGCTAAAATTAGGGACGGTAGGTAGCCCTCGTGTAGCTTTGCGCGAAATTCAAAACAAACAAACAGTTTATCGCTACAGCAAGAATTACTGGTCCATCTTCACCGATGATAGTAAAGTTATCTAAATTAGTTCCATAGTTATTTAACTGTAGTGGATTTTGTTTTATACGAACACCTATCTAATAATTTATATAGCGATATAAATGTTGATATCACATATAATTTTGCGAAACGATTTAGCACAGAGTTTTGGACGCCTTGCCGTAGCTCAGACTGAAATATGAAATAGTTTCATGAAAAGTTATTCTTGAACAACGTTAGATCGGACTAGACAACGAAGAAAACTTTTTAACAATAATTTTACTAAACTGCCACTTTAACATCCTTCTGGACGATCAGGAAAGGAAACTTTTTAACAATAATTTTATTACCTTGTCAAGTTAACATCCAGGTGGATAACGAGGAAAGAAAGCTATTCATTGGTAATTTTACTAAATTAACATTCCAATGTATTACCAAGACAGGAAGCTCCATATCATAGTTTTACTAATTTCTCAATTTCACTTCCGACTGGATGACCAGGGAAGGAAGATTTGGAACAACAGATTTATTAACTTTTTAATATTACAGTCCACTAAATGACCAAGTAAGGAAGCTTTGAAACATAGTTTTATTAGTTTGTCAATTTACCATTCGACTGGTTGACCAAAGAAAGAAGTTTTGCAACAACAATTTTTCTAGTTTTTTATTTAAATATTCTACTCGATGTCCGGGAAAAGAGGCTTTGCAACACCAACTATGTTAAATTGTCCATGCGAAATTATTCTGGGTGACCAGAGAAAGAAGATTTCCAATAACAATTTTGCTAAACTCTCACTTTGACATCCCATAAGGTGACTAAGAAAGTCAGTTTAGCAGGAACAGATTTACTAACTCGTAATCTTAACAAAACATGGATGACCACGAAAGGAAGCGCCCAACAATAATTTTGTGAAACTGTTAATTTTACAGACTAATTGATAACTAGGAAAAGAATCTTTGTAAAAAAATAACGTTACTATATTGTCAGTTTGGCATTATACTGGATGACTGGAAGGAAGTTTTGGAGCAATAAATATACAAAACTGTTAATTTGGTGGTCTACTGGATGACCAGGTATGGAGGCTTTGCAATAATGATTTTACTAAACCACTGGATGACCAAGGAAGGAACGTTTACAACATTTACTAGTTTGTCAACTTAACATCTCACTTGAAGACTCTGGAAAGAGGCGTTGCAACAATAATTTTATTAAACTGTCTATTTGACAGCCTACTGGATTACCAGGTAGGGATGCTTGCAACTATAATTTAACTAAACTGTCTATTTGACAGCCTACTGGATTACCAGGTAGGGATGCTTGCAACTATAATTTAACTAAACTGTCTATTTGACAGCCTACTGGATTACCTGGTAGGGATGCTTGCAACAATAATTTCATGGATGGAACCTTAAGAACAGTAAGTTTATTAACTTGAAAATTTGACATTTTCGAAATAACCAGGAAAGGAAGGAAACTTTTCAATAAAAATAATGATATTGCCTTGTCAATATGATATTCACTGGATGACCGAAGAAGGAAGTTTTTCAACAATAGTTTTACTAACTTGTTAATTCTAGGTTCACTGGATGACCATCAAAGGAAGCTTTGCAGCATTCCTTTTACTAACTTCTATATTTGACATTCACTGGATGACCAGGGAAGGAAGCGTTGCAACAAAAATGTTTATATGATACTCCATTGAAGAACCATTAATAGAGTTATCGCAACAATAATTTTATTAAACTTGTCAATATGGCAGCTTATTGGATGATTAAGGAAAGAGACTTGCAGCAAAAAGTTTAATAAAACATATTCAGGGAGGGAAGTTTTGCAAAACAATTTCAGTAAATTTTCAAATTCACAACCTACTAGATGACCAAAGAAGGAAGCTTTGCAACAATAGTTTTATTAATCTGTCAATTTGACAATCACTGGATGACCTTCCTTTCATTATTATCCAGAAGAACGTCAATTTGACAGATTAGAAAAAATAATTCTTCCAAACCTCCTTCCTGGTCATCCAGTGATTGTCAAATTGACAGATTAATAAAACTATTGTTGCAAAGCTTCCTTCTTTGCTTTGGAAAAACAAATATTTTAACTTGTCAATTTTCTTTCCACTGGATGACGAAAGAACTATACTTTGCAACATAGTTTTATTAAACTTGTTAATTTGACATTCTACTGGATGATCAACAAAAAATTCTTGCAGCAGTAATTTTAATGTCTTGTCAATTTAAATTTTTACTGAATGAACAGGTGAAGAAGCTGTGCAACAGTAATGTTATTAACTTTTCAATTGAGCACTAAATTTGATGACCAGTGAAGGAAACTTTGCAAATGTACCTTTACTAACTTGTCAATTTGAAATACACTGGATGACAATGGTGGAAAGTTCGAACAATGATATTCTTAAAACATCTATTGGACAGCTTAATGGATGAACAAAGAAGGAAGGTTTGCGACAATATTTTTACTAAACAATCAATTTGACATCCTTCTGTATAACAAGGAAAGGAAACTTTGAAAAAATAATTTCGATAAATTATAAGTTTGATAACTTATTGGATAACCATGGAAATAAGTTTTAAAACAGTATTATTACTAGCTTTTCCATCTGTCATCCCACTGGATGATCAAAAAGTGGATTTCGCCAAGCAAGGTTTTACTGGCGTATGAATTTGACATTTCACTGGAATTATTACTAGCTTTTCCATCTGTCATCACACTGGATGATCAAAAAGTGGATTTCGCCAAGCAAGGTTTTACTGGCGTATGAATTTGACATTTCACTGGAATTATTACTAGCTTTTCCATCTGTCATCACACTGGATGATCAAAAAGTGGATTTCGCCAAGCAAGGTTTTACTGGCTTATGAATTTGACATTCCACTGGAATTATTACTAGCTTTTCCATCTGTCATCACACTGGATGATCAAAAAGTGGATTTCGCCAAGCAAGGTTTTACTGGCTTATGAATTTTACATTCCACTGGATGACCAAGGAAGGAAACTTTGTAAAATATTATTATTAGCTTGACATGCACTTGTTGACCATGGAATGAAGCATTTCAACAATCATGTTTACAAACTTGCCAGTTTGACATGTCACTGTTTGACCAGGAAAGGAAAGCTTGCAACACAATTCTATTCACTTGTCAAATTTGATATTCCACTGGAGGATCAAAGATGAACGCTTTGCAACAAGGATTTTAGTAAACTGTCAATTTGAAATGCCACTTAATGTTCAGTGAAGATAGCTTTGTAATAACAATACTTTTACTAACTTATA